ACATGTAGCCAATTGTACACTCTCCTGTAGTAGTTCATTGAACCACAATACTGATAAGTAATTAATAAAAGTCAAAAAACCAAAGAGGTCACCTTAATACCAAAAATATATATATATATATAATAATAATAATATAATAATTAAGTAATAATAATATTCTATAATTCATTAAATAGAAATAAAGAAGATGAATTTGGTAAAGAAATAGAATAGATAAATTGTAATATTTTAAATTTGAATGATTATAAAAATAAGAGTAGTAATAAAGAAAAAGAAAAAATGATAATAATAAAGAAGAAGTTGATTCAGATAATAAATAGGAAGATTGAAGACAATTTGAGTTGGATGATAGGGTTAAAAAAAGTAATTGTAGTCAAAGAAGAATGTAAATTTTTTTTTTTTTTGTTTTAATAAAGAGTATAAAATTTTTGTTATAAAATAAAGATTACAAAAATAATAAATATTAATTATACTAATAATAAAATAAAATAAGTATTTAAGAAATTTAAAGTTAATAGCCTTCTAGATACTATAAGGATTAAATAGGTTCATGTAGCAAGTTTTGTTACCTATTGTCCTTTCTGTATTGGTCAGATATAACAAAATTGTTTACTTTTTATAAAAATTATTAGATACTAAAACTTAGAAATATTCTAAAACATAATCAGAGAAAAAAATGCTAATAACCAGACTGTTCACAGCTATATATAACCTTTAAATTTTAATAATATAAAGCTATCATTTGCCAAAATATTATTCATAAATACAATTATCACTTTATATTATTTATAAAAAAAAGAATAAATATAACTAATAAAATATAAAAGAAAATAAGATAGATAAATATAATATTTATATATAATGTTTAAAAAATAATCTTCTTTAGTATCTTAGAACATAATTGAATCTAAAAAAGATAAGACTTTACAGATTACATAATCTAATTCAGATTAGAAAATTTTTTAAAGTTTTTCTGCCTATATAGCATAGCAAAGAAAATTATTCTAAAATTAGATTTTTTGAAAAGTTATTATTTAAGCCTTTTTATATTATATATTTATATCTTAAGCTATTAAATAAAGTTGTAAAAAAGATTTTTTTGGTTCTAACAAATATTAAAATATTAAAATTGGTTTAGTAGATAGCTTGCTATGATGATTTTAAGAAATGCTGAATCTTCTTGAGACTTTTTTGAAGATTATTTTTATAGATGTTGAAAAATGTTATTATGATTTCAAAGTTAATTTACAGATCAAATAAACATTTTTTTATTATGATATAGTATAATAAAAATTGTAGAGAAGGTTTTCTGTAAGTAGACTGATATGTGTTTCATTTTTCTATGATCAAAACTCATTAAGATATTAATAAAAAACAAAAACCTTTCAAAAATCATTTTTGTAGTTTTTTCTTTTATAAATATTTTAGTGTTTTTGTCTGCAAATTTGTTTTTTATTAATAATTTTTAGTATTTTATTAGAGAATAAGTTTTCTTTAAATATAGTTAGTACTAACAAGTAATAAAATAATAAATAATAAAACTAGTTTGTAACCTGTCACTTATGCTGATGGTACAGGAGAAAATAAACAATGATGACTCTAATTAAGCATGGTTGAAAATCCATTTGATTGGTTGTCGATCCCTGAAATTTCATTAGCTGCTTATTATAAATGTTCTATCTGAAAACATGATCGATTATATATTAAGTTGCTAATGAATTTGATTATATTTGATTAAATTTGTCAGAAGCAAGTAGTATTAAAGAATAAAATTTATTTAAAATTTCATTGTCTGTTTGCTATAAAAATTTATGACTTACTACTTGCAAGTTATAAATTTATATAGCAAAAAGATAATAAAATTTTAAAGAAATTTTATTCTTCAATGCTACTTGCTTCTGGCAAATTTAATTAAATATAATCAGGTTCATTGATAGTTTATCATATGAACAATTGTATTTTTATATAGTTACTACGATGATCAACAACCAATTAAATGGATTTTCCATTATGCTCTCTAGTTGTTGATTATTACAATTATTTTATTTGAGTGTAGTAGTGGGTTGGGGTGTTAATTTGAATTCTAACTTCTTAAAAAATTTAGTTATTTGGCTCAAAATAATATGGTATATAGGTATGTACATAAGTAGTTCAAGTGATAAATTGCAAATAAGAGTAAGAGTTGCATTTATGTATATGAGTAAATTAAAGTAAAATTTATTTTATTAAGTTTGTAGGTTATTTTAAACTGTGTATTATTGTAATATAATAATAATAATATGATAAATGGTTTTTTTGAAGCTAGAAGTAGAATTAAGGATTTTTATTAATAATAAAAAAAAAGCAAAAAAACAAAATATAAAGAAATAAAAAGTAATTGAAGGATAAGAGTAAAAAGTAGAGTAGCATAAAAGTAAGTGAAGTATTAGCGATATTGATATACCAAATCGGAAAGAAAAACTGGTTAGTAAATAGTATGAGGTAGTAAAATAAACAAATATTATTACAGAAGAAGAAAAAATAAGGTTGTAAATGTGAAGAGGAAGTACTTATATATAATAAAGAATACTTATCTGATTATAGTCATTTCAAATTGAATAGTAAGTAAGTTTATATATATGAGTGAGTAAAATCAGGCGATAAATTTGTAAAAATAATCTGATAATGCGATTAATAAGTATATAAAGTAAATTATTAAATAAGCAGAAAAAATTTCGTTGAATATATTAGTATGATTAGTGATATTGCTAATAGAGATAAAATAAAAAATGAGAAAAGAAATATGTAGAGGAGAAAAGTAAGTAACGAATGAAATGAAGTAAAGGAATAAGGTGATAATGTAATTGACTGCAGTATAGAACATTATAAATAGATATAAAAAAAAAATTAAAATAAAAGAATAAATTATAATAACACATTTGGGTAGATGATGTTTACGGTACAGCCTGTTTTAGCATACTTGTCAGTAAGTAGAATTTTTAAGTTAGTGTATGATGTAACTCTAGAGCAAGCAACATAAAGTTGATCATGAGAAAAGACAGGTGTTGGTAGATATACTCCCATGTTGTTTAAGGTTTGACCTTGTGCCTTGTTGATAGTTAGGGCAAAAGCAGGTTGAACAGGAAATTGATGGCATTTAAGAACAAAAGGTAAATCATTGTTTGAAGTAAAAACAATCTAAGGGAAAAAAACCCTATGACCCGCATGTTTTCCCATAATTACTTCAGTGTTAATAATTCTAGGTGTAAAAGCATGGCATATTAATCGGGTTCTATTGCATAAACTGTTCATAGGATCTATATTATGAAGAAGTATTATTAGAGTGCCAACTTTTAATGATAATTTGTGTGAAGGTATGTCGCTCAACTTCAAGCTATTTAAGAATTCAATTGGATATAAATTTTCATAGGTAGTATTATATCCATCAGATGTTTTGTCAATAGAATTGGCATTTAAGTATTCAGTTGATTCAGTTGGGCATAGGTTCATAATAAGATCGTTAACTAAATCAACATCAATATTTTTGGGAGTGAGAATTCCACGATTCATTAAATAATTGGAATTATTCAATGATGTTGTTAAATCAGGATAAACAAAATTAATTAAAGAGTGAATATTTTGTGAAAGAAGAATGATATTGTCAGGAATATTAATAAGATTGGGTTCTAATACTTGTGGTATGTGGCCTTCACCAAGTTGCAAAAGCCAATCTGCAAATTGAGATTGCTCTGTAAGTAAGCTAGAATTATTAGCTTGAAGTAAATGCATATTTTGAATTAATTTCATTATTTTAACATGTTGCCAAAAAGAAGATTATAGTAAGCAAGTGTCTACGATATCTTCTTTTTTACCTTTAGGAACTATCGGTAAAATTTGGCGAAAATCATCCCCTAATACAATTAGTTTACCTCCAAAAGGATGAGATTCTAGAAGTGGGTCAATTGCTTTCATTAAATCTTTTATAGTTTGATCAAAAGCTTTAAAAGCATGATGATGCATTATGGAAGCTTCATCCCAGACAATAAGGGCAGCTTGTTGTAGTAAATTAGCTAATTCTGTACTATGAGAGATATTGCATATCGAAAATTCATCTAAATTAAATAGAATCTTGAAACATGAATAAGCTGTTCGTCCTCCAGTTAGAAGAAGAGAAGCAATTTCAGAAGAAGCTACTGCAAGAGCGATTTTTCCACATGATCGAATTTTGTCAAGCAATAAACTGTACAAAAATATTTTGCCAGTACTGCCTGGGCCATCTACAAAAAGTAGTTCTTGATAGTTGCATTCAACTGCAGAGACTACAATGTTAAAAATAGCATATTGTTTAGAATTTAAAAGTAAAAGTGCTTCTTTTACTCTATATTTAAGAGATTCAGTATCATAATGCAATTCCTCTGCAATCAAATTGACACTTAGAAATGGGTTTTCAGATTGAAAAGTTGGAATCAGCATGTTTGGGAAATCTTTAAGGCTCTTTTCATGCGTACATAAAATTGAATCTAAGTGATGTAAAGCACTATTATATATATTAATATCATAAACAGTAAAAGCAGAACGATCACCTGATTCTTGATTAGCTTGGAATAAGATATCATCACAAAAGACTAATATATAGTTTTTCCAGAGTTGCTTAGGTTGAGCAGGATGGCAGAAAAGGAGAATAGTAGCAAATAAGCGACAGAGTTGAGCGCCTGATTGTATTTCTTTGGCCTCTTTTAAGCATTCATTCTATTCTTGATCATTATGAAGTAAACCTAAAGTGTTATAGGCTTCTTTAAATGTGTTATATGTGAAGCCATTAATGGTACAAAGATTTATAAAAGACGTTGCATCACATACAGTAGTTAATAACAATCGAAGATAGTAACGCTCTCCTGCTATCAGATGAACAAAATATATTCAACCGATTGTATTTTCTCTTTGCCTTGGTTTCCATTCTTTTTTTTTGAAATCAAAAACTTAGTAAATAGGAAACTCCTCATAAGTTAGCTCACAGGCTTCAGAATATCTTTGGTTTGCTTCAAACCAAGTAAGCAAAGTAGTTTTTGTAGATAATCCATGATGTAGCACATCGTTCAAATTATCTTTATTATGATAAGGTACCATATGTTTACCGTCAAGATGAACCTGAAGTCTCATGATATTAGGCTTTTCATCATATAGCTTATAATGAAATAACCTCCAAGTAGCTTCAGATGCTGAGACATAGTATGCATCTAAATACTGATGAATTTCATCATTACAAGTTTGTTCCATTCTTGTAAGCTGTTGTAGGTCGACTTCTTGTAGTCTTCCAATTTCTAAGGTTACTTTATCATGGCCTTTATAAACATATTTAAAAAGATACTTAACAGCTGATATTAAAGAACAGATTTCTATATTGATATGCGCATTATACTTAGTCATAAGGTAAAGATTATGAGGAATGACCCATGTATTATCTAATCGGACACCTTTAATTTCTACAGTTTGACTATCATTTGGGTGGTGATATATAGGATATTTATTTTTATTTTGTGATATATGTTCGCAGAAGCTTTGTGGGTATTTTTTAGAGCATTTGCTGTCTTTCATACATGGAGCATTTGGATAAGAAAGACTATACAGACCATGCATCATAGTGCATATAACAGTTTCATAGGCTGCAGTATAGATATCTTTGTTAGGAATTGTAGCAGATACAATACTATCATAATCTTCAATAGTTTTTGGCTTTGAATCTGCATCAAGAATAATTAGTATGTGCGAATGAGGAAGATCATATTTTTGAAATTCAACAATGTGAATGTGTGCAACAACTTTTCCAAAAATATTATTTTTAATAATATCATCTAATAGAGCTTTTAATTTCATATGAAAAACCCAGGCAGATAAATCAGGGCGATCTGCAGCACTTTGGTTAGGAAAAAGCTCTGCAGTAATTTCAGGCCACATAGGGTTACAGGTAAAGGTAATAAAAAGATCAGGTTTACCCATTATACGCACGATTGACATTGCATCTTGATAGAGTTGATGCATTTGGTAAGGACCACCTGTAAAGCTTGATGGAAGAATAATTCTCTTACCTATATTAGTTGCTGATAAAGGTTGAGATGCATTATCCTGTAAAGCCATAACATCATGCAACCCATTATAAAGTTCAATCCAAATTCTTTTTTGATTAAACCTTAGATAATTAAGTCGACTTTGCTCTATACTTGTATACACATTGACTATATATTGTTAAAAAAGGTGTCAAAAAGAAGAATATTTAAACCTTCATTAGATCTGCCTATTTGAAGTTGATAAGAATAATATTGCATCATTGTAACGCATTTTTGATTAGTCTCATTATATTTCTCATTCGTTTTCTGGTCGTTACTTGAGGAAGTTATTAGTAAAAAATCATCACGAATCAGAATTCCTGGATTCTACCCATCTTCACCCCTTGGAAAAAGAAGAACATAATGCAACGATGCATAAGCTTTATGTAACTCAGAGATATGCTGTAAACTTCCTGAATGTGAATGAAGTATAATATCTCTAGTACATGGAGTATTATTATTAGAATTATCACTTACTATTATAGCTGCAACTTCAGAAGCAGTAGGAAGATTATATCTGCGAGGGTCTGTAGCTCTAAAATCTTTGAGAATCATAGTTAAAGGCTGTGCAGGATTTTGCTATAGGGATTGACCTGTTTGATAAAAAACTTGAACATATAGGTTAGTATTATAAAGTATAGTTTGAAGTTCAAAAAGAATACTTGAATCCAAAGAAGACATAAAATTGTATTTATTTTGAGCTTTATTTGCAGTGTCGAAAACATACATTTGGGCAAAAAGAGGAGCATTTGTAATTGGCTGAGATAACAAAGAGCCAATACGATGATACATTTCACCATGTATGCAATATATATAGGGACCTTGTGTTCCAATAACATTTTTATCTATTTTAGCACCTATTGAAGTAAAAGCTAAGGCAGAATTGTATGCTCGTATATTCTGTCTAAATTCACATGACAGTGTATCAGTACCTGTAAGATAATTATACAATACTGGAGGAGGAGCTTGAATAGGTAGAAGTAAAACTTTTTCTTTTGCACAACAGGTACTAAAAATAGGTGAACGTTTTGATGATCCTGCGCATCTTTCATCAACCCATTTTAAAGCACCACAATAAATATAGCAACAATCCATTCTTCCTAAATTATAACATTAGATTCTACTGGAATCAAATAGATAAATGCATACCTTTGGAACAGAAGCAGAGCGATACTGTAAAGAAAGTGATGTGATATTAATATCTGAAGATTGCCTGATAAAATAGTGAGTTGCCAAAGTAATAGCATTAGGTGAAAAAACAATAGTAGAAGAAATATTCAGAGGAGGTTGTTCTAGTGGAAATATATGAGCAAATTTTCATAAGCGAGCTTTGGATTCTCTATATTGCCATTTACGATTTTCTTTTTAAGCAGGAGTCATGCTAGTAGAGTTACTTAAAAAAATGTTAGTTTGATTGCTTATAATCATAATTTTAAAGTAATAATTAAAAATAAAAATCAAAGTTAAAGGATATAGCAAGTAATTTCAATTATCACGTTGGGAATGGTAACTTATTATGTGGGTTGAATATTTTAATAATACACATGCACAAAATTTAAATAGCAGTAATTAATATTATTATAGTAGTTAAATATATGCAATGTTGGAAAGCTTCTTTTTACTAAACACTACAATAAGTTAACAAAGCATATATATAGACTAACAAAAAGTAGTGATAAAGAGGTAAATGCTAGTATGAAGAGAAAAGTAAATTTAAAAAACGAAATTTATTAAATCATAATAAAATTTATTAAACTATAACGATAATAAAATTTATTAAACTAATAATACCACACTGCTTAATTACCTTATTAGGAGATACCACATCGCTTAATTACCTTATTAGGAGATGAACAACAAACAGCCAAATGATTAATGCATATGATATAATATACATTACATGAACATGCAATTATAATATCCTTTATAGTGATTCTAATTTATCGCATGATATACGCAAATATGCAAGATGTGGACAGTGCATAATTCCAGAGATTTTAAAGGTATTAGATTATATTCATAACACCCATGTTATACAACATCCTATATGTTTTACTTAGGGTTAGGATCCGTTTTTAAAATAAATAAGGATTTTTTATTATACAATATATATTAGATATAAGGTCCTAATAGGTCCCGATTTTAGTTCCTATAAAGTTTTCAGGGATGCTGATCATTTTTACTTAGAGTACCTACACCCATTTACTTAGTACGTTTTTGAAATATTGCAAAAGGTGTTATATAATATGATGTTATGAATATAACTTTCCTATTTTAAAAATAAATTTTTATCTTATGTAAAAATTTCAATTAAATATTCAATAAAGACAAAAACATGGTTTTATTATTAATATTAATATTTTTTATCTTTAGTTTGACTCAAACTGTTTATTTTGTTTGTAAGAGTTTAAAAGCTTAACTATTAAGCTATAGAATCAAACCCTTTGTAGCAATCTCAAGATTTAAAAAGTACTAATAAGATCCATGACCCAAGAGATTACCTTATCATAAAAAAAATGTAACCGTGTAAAAAAAAAAGTTATAGTTGGAAATTAGTATTAGAACATTATAAAAGAAAAAAATCTTATACAGTATTGAAGTTATTAGTGTTAGAAAAATTAATAACGTTGATTGGCGGTTCAAGTAGAAACTTGATTTTTTCGTATTACATAATCGCCACGCAGAAGATAAACAATAAAATACGTATCTAATTTACGGAACTTTCCATCCCTGGTTATAAAGCGCCACGTGATATAGGAAGATAGTATTGATTTAGTTGGTCACTAATAATGATAAAATCAAATCAATTTTAGGCTTTCGAGCTTTCGATGAATTTTCCACCATGAGCTTTGGAACTCTTCAAGTGAGTGGTATCATAGTTTTATTAATTGATATGGTCACTTTATTCACCCGCATAATTTTTTAATAGATACCTTCGTCTTTGCCTAAGCCTACTATACAGTCTTTCATAGGTAATCTAAAATGATATTTTGCTTAAAAACCATAAGCAATATGATTATATATTATTACACGCAATATTGAATTTAAGGAAATAAATGCTTTAATATTCAAACCTTTGCTTACTTATATAAACGTAAAATTTGCAGAAAGAGCATGTAACCCTCAAATGGTTGAGCCAGATTTGGCTTTAGACTTGGAAATCGCGGATTTGATTAATCAAAAAAAACAAAATTAGTATGTTTAATATTTATAGTATTTTTCTTTTATTATCTATGCTGATAAAATTTTCTTTCAAAAAAGTCCACGCGACGCAGCTGTTCACATTGTGCGCCTTATAAATCATCGAAACCCTAATGTTTCCATGCTGGCTTTAACGGTACATATTATCATTCAAGATCTGTTAACAAATTAATCATCGTTTTTTTGCATTGTTCCATTTATTTATTTGTTTTTTTTTTTAGCTTTTGGATATTTGTGTTAAGAATTGTGGATATCCATTCCATCTGCAAATTGCTACAAAAGAATTTTTAAATGAACTTGTTCGAAAATTTCCCGATAAGCCCCCAGTATTGCCAATTTCTTTTGTTCGCTACCAAATGATATTCGAATTATTCACACTTTCGTTCTTAATTGAATAGGTGGTCCCTAATCCAATACAACTGAGAATACTAGGATATATTCAAGAATGGAAATCTACCATCTGTGTTAATTCGCGCCATAAGGACGACTTACATTATATCAATTATATGTATAGGTTACTTCTTCATAAAGGTTAGTAGGTTCGTTAGACAATATCATGAAAAAAAATATAGATATCCAGTTTTTTTATTTTTGTTTTAATTTACATTGGACTTAGGTTACATATTTCCTGAAATTGATGATCAATCTGCAGCAGTCCTTAATCCAACTGATGTATGATTTTTAATATATTTTCTATGATATGGGTTACCAAAAGTGTAAATTATACCATCATTAATCACATTCTTAAATAACTGTAGACTTTAAAGTCACCTGATGAATTGGAAGAAGAGGATCGTGCTGCGCAAGCAGCGGTAAATTTGAAGTATTTTTAACATTTTTGTTTGCAATTTTATATACTTAATATTTTCCGAGACAACATATTAATTTTAAAAAGGACGATCTATTTTATAATTTACGAAACGAAAGAAATTGCAAGAATTAATTCGCAGAGGTACTCCTGCAGATCTGGAAGAAGCAAATGAATTAATGAAAGTTATGGCTGGCTATGTATGTCATATACTCCTTGATAATGTATTATACATTATTTAATATTAATAATTTTAATTATTTTTTAGGACCCAGAAGTAAAACCTGATTACAAGAAGCAAACTGGTGAAGAGTTAGAACGAATTCAACGAAAGGCGATACTTTTGAATGATATGCTTAATAATGTCAAACCTGGTGAAGTTATCGGTGAAGGAGATATATTTGAGGCAACAGATACTTAATTTAATCTTGATATTTTAGCATTTTGAGTCAATATTTATAATTAACATTTGTATTTACAATAATAGGAATTATCACAAGCTTGTAAGGCAGTACAACCCAAAATTCAAAGATTTATTTCAGAAGAAGAAGATTCCGAAAGTATTGGTATGTATTTACTTATTTTTTTCTCGCTTTACATATTTAGATTGCTTACTCATTTCTCTTATTGCTTTCGATACAGATCAACTATTGAATTTGAATGATATAATCAATACAGTTTTAAAGAAATATCAAAACATCCTAAATGGGGTATTTAATGATCCTAACGACGCATTGCCTCCGCCCCCTCCACCTTCCACAACGTAATTTCAATTTTCCATATATATTGTATACAGGCTTGGTCAAATCATGGTCGACCAAAATTTATTGGTCATACTGGTCCGGTCAAATGGTCTGGTCAAATTGGTCAAATGATTAGTCTCTTAAATAAATAATTTTAACACACAAAATAAATAAATGTATTATATATTGAAATATCCTTTGCCCAATTTGACCAATACCAAACCTTTTGACCAACTGGTCTGGTCAAGCTTGACCATTGACCAATCCGTGCCAACCCTGATTGCATCTATAAAATTTATTTTAAATTTTAATATGCATTCTTATACATTCAAACTAGCGGGAGCCAGCCAGAGTCATGGTTGATTGATTTAGGAGATCCTGAACCTCAGCAAGGTCAAATCCAAATTACCGATGATCTGATTGATGCGAGCGGTGGATCTTCTGATAATAATAACCCACCAAAGACAGGTATTTATTTCTGAACTTTTCGTTTTTCATCTCGAAATATTTTCACTTATTTTTAATTTGTACACATATTAGGGACTTTGATAGACGATTTAATTGGACTGTCCTTTCATTGAGACTTTTTAATTATGAATATTTTTATAGTATTGTATAACTATGAGCTTGGTTTTAAATTGTTGATCAAGAGTTCTAAAATATTTTGAGTTTCTAACATGTTTAAACTAATATATTTGATTCAATATTATAATTTCTTGGGGTATATCTTTTAATGATAAAAAGAATGCGAGCACGTGACATGGTATACATAAATTTTGACATGATCGACATTTTTCAATTATAAATGAAAAGTTGATTTGCATAATAAAAAATCAAGATAATATAAAAGAAATATTTCACGAATCTTCCAAAGGCCAATATATCACGATAGTCACCTGTTACCTTTAACCAATCAAAATCGTCAGAGAAACTCATTAAAAAATTTTAATTTTTACCGTCACGTAATGATCTACGAATAACGAATCCCAATTTGGTGTAACATTACGCGATCAGGAAAATTCAAAATTCGCTTATAACACTAAATTTATATAGGAAACCACCTAGCATTAACAAAGTTTTTGCTGAATGATTTTACTAGTATAATTTCTAAATTTTAATTCTAACATAGACTCTAACCCTAACATAAATGAATATAAAGAATTTTTGTATATCACATGATAGTAAAAATTTTGTTGAAAAGATCGAATTGGCAGTTATAGAAACAAATTATTAAAAGATATAGTATATAAATTCTAAAACTACATTTTCTATTTTACCTATAGTAAAAATAATTCAAAAAATGAAGAAATAATTTAGAGGTTATGTAACAGGTACACTTTAGTCATATAACAAGGTAATTTGTATCATAGTGTAGTGTTAAGTTTTTATTAAAAAACTTTAAACAAGCAACAATACTTACAGTTAGTTTTTCAATCTTTTTTCTGAATATAGATTATTTGACTAAGTTTTTAAAAGTTACAGAATATTAGATATCAGTTAAACTAGATGTTATGCAAATTAGGTAAATAAATTTTTTACTATAAAATTTGAGTAATCAACATTTAGGCCACACAAATTTAATATCTTGGTTTTTATAACATGAAATTTTTGATCAGACCTGGTCGGCCGGCCGGCTTTTTTTTTTAATTTTTTATATATATAATTTTATAAAATTTTTGAAATTTTTTTTTTAAAAACCCATCCGGTTATTAAAACATATAAAAAAATTTTTTATAAACTTTTAAATTTTGACCTGGCCGGGTTATAAAAACCAATTAATTAATTTTGTATGGCCTTATATAAAATTTTCAATTAGGCCACACAAAATTATATACTTGGTTTCATATCATGAAATGGTAAGCAGTGATACAGGCGCGTGGCTTTTTTTTTTATATATATAAAAATTTTTTTTAAATAATGCTAAAAAAAGCTTATTAAAGTTTATTGTCTTACAATCTAAATATGAACTTTTTACATTATTTATTAATAACATTTTGAACTAGTGATACAAATCAAGTTGGAAATATAGGACTTTCTCATGATTGGTTAATTTATGCAGTTGAATTATACAGGTACTTTTATGTCTTAATATAGTAAATTTTTTTTAAAAAAATGTAACTGTCATTCATAATAATACCACAATAAATATCTTGTATATCTCTGGAATTTGCCTTGTCTAGGTATACTTCACTTAGAAACAGTTTTTCAATTTAGAAAAATAGTAGAGGTAATAAACACTATTTATTACAAAATCACATGGTTTTGCATTTATTTACTGCTGTACTTTTTTATTATTCAATAAAGATATTGAAATAAAACTTTATTAATTACAATTTTCGATATATAGAAGTACAAATAAGTGATGCTAATAGTTGTAATAAGTTGTTTAAATAATATTAAAGGAACAGAGATCTATATACATATTATTAATATTATATTAGAGAGTTATTAAAAATAGTTAAATAGTTTTTAAAAAACAAGAACTACAATGTCTTAGAATAGTGACACTTTATTATATGAAATAAAAAAAATTTAAAGCACAAAGGATATTTGAATAAAGAAAAAAATCATTTGAAAGCTTTACTAATAATAATAAATGCAAAATTTAAATTTTATTGATTAATTATCACATGTTCAAATGTTTAGCCAATTATAAGTTACTATTCAATTTCATGTGATTGGCCAATCATGAAAAAGTTCTCCTATATATTAGTTAGCTTAGTTAACAACTAATCGATTGAAAAATTTTAACTATTTGTATCATTACATTGAATTTTATTTTTACAAAATACAATTGTAATATAATATTTACTAAATTTTAAATTATATGACATTACAAAAATAAAATTAATTTTGATATTTATTTTATTAATAACAATAATCACATAGATTTCGATTTTGTAATTTTACAATCTTAAATCTTTTCGCAGCAAAAAGAGGGTTCACAAAGGTTGCAACTAATTCTAAAGTGATACTTTGCAACAAACATCTTCAATCTATACAGAATCAAAATATAAAAACTTTAGCTTTTCACTGATCTATTTATTTTAGAAGGCACATATGCATAAGCATATTACAATTACTCAGATAAGCTATTAAAATACTCACCAAAGATACATATGAGTTGGCGAATATCAAAAATGCTAGTGAAACATCGAAACCCTGCAAATAATGAAAGATACTCACAAAGAGTATCAGTTCTATGATCACCTAATTTAAGCTTAAATTAAACTACTAAATAGATAATGATAAATATGTACTGATATATTATAGTAATATATCCTGAGCAGTTAGGTTTAAGCGAATTTTGTAGTAAGTATAATCAGCTGCTTACATGGCTAATTATACTTTATTGCAAAATTTGCTTAAATCCAACTGCCTAGGATATAATTATTACATACTGTAAACTACCATATATATGACTTAGGTCTCTTACATTCTACCAAAAAAATTAGTAAAAAAAAGAAAATAATTATTAAAAAATAAAGATGGGTCTAATATATAGGGGAGTCTTGTATATGGCAATTTATGGTATTTAATAATAAGCTATGAATTTAATGCATTTGGTATAGGAATCACAGAACCAATACTTTTTGTGATATATGCTAAGCTTTGTGAAAGTTTAAAACACTAGGTAGAAGCACAATTCTATATTTTGCTAAAACAAATTATGCTACTGTTAAATGTGAGTTTAATGTATTTCCAGAAAATGATATATACATTATTTAATCTTAATGTTATACTAATCCAATGCATTTATAATATTTAGCTTTCATTTACTAGTCATGACAACTTTCATTAGTTTCGCCAGTTTCATTATGTTTTGCTGATTTTGCCATTCCATCCTTTTTATAATTTTTTAATGAAAGCCGAAACTAGGATTTCAGCTTTTGCTAACATGAAGCCTCTAGATTTTGCCTAACAACTATAAACCAAATAAACTCTAACTACATATTGGAAAATACTTGAACAAATAAATGTTTAAAATAATAAGATTGACTAACTTAATATGAATAAAAGATATATTATAAGTTAGAGATTAATAAACTTGACTTACTATATTAATATGAATAAATAATATCTATATTTACAGACTAAATTTATTAAAAAAAAAGATTTATATTGATTTTTAAAAACAAATTAGCATTGATTTATGCAGTATATAACTTGTATATACAAATAAGCATATACACACTTATGAAGACATTCAAACTTTTTCAAGATCTATTTTGAAAATTAAGAATCATAAAGCATGAACAGGTGATATTAAGGCTGATCGATAAGGCTATAGAGCTCTGTATAGGGAAAAATAATTAAAATAAGGAATGCAAACCAATAAGCAGATTTGCAAATAAAGGAACTACAACTAACTAGAAGAATAAGTAATCTTACAATTATTAGCATTGATAATGTCTAAACATCTTAATTAAAGTATATGTAAAGTACAAACCATTTGGACAAAAAAAAATCTTAAATACAGATCTTTGTATGAGTAATAATCAAATAATCATACTACCTGATCTGTAATGGGTACATAAATAAAAACTAATTTTTAAAACAAACTTATATAAAACATAAGAATTTTGACCTCTATACAGGCATAATTTCTTATAAGCACAGAATTTCTTGAAATCGAGAGTGTGACTGTAAATAGGTTTGACTATGATTTATAATCGGCCTTTTGGTTTTACAGTCAAATCTCTCTACAGCCACACTTTTGGTTCCAAGAAATTGTGTGCTTATAAGAAATTGTATCTGTATAGAGGTCAAATTTCTTATATCTTATATAAGTTTGTTTTAAAAATTAGTATGCTTATATAGAGGTTGTGACTCTATGGAGAATAAGTGTATGAAGGGCAGACTGTATCTGTTAATATAACAGATGTAAATAGATTAATTGATAAATATAAATAAAATAAACCATATTGTTGCATGATCTATATACTATTTTATTGATAACATATTATACCAACTTATCGCCTCAATAGGGAAAACTATATGAGCAATAAAGAACCAATTTATTGACAGTCCTGGTCATTCTATCGACAATTCACTGACAAGTTCATTTTATCGACAATTATTTCACTGATAGTTAACTTATCGACAAAGTAATTCTGGTCATTGTCATTAGTATCAGATTTAGAATTAGTTAAGATTAGTGCAATTTTTAAAAAACTTCTTGGTAAAATAATTGTTTGTGAAATACCCATAAATATTCAACATATGGGATCTTTGCTAGAAAAATCACCCTTCGGCATTTTCAGATCAGAATAATTTGGACAAACTTTAATTCACATATTAGTTCTTCTTTGCACGTAAACCATCATTTTCTTTATTGTTTCAAAAGCTTATTGAATATACTTTTGAGTTAATAAAAGCAAAGATGATTTATATGCAAATAAGAACTGATATGTGGATCAAAGTTTGTTTGAATTATTCCGATCAAAAAATGCCAAAGAGTGATTTTTATAGCAAAGATCCTATATATCAAAAGATTTTGTTACCAAAAAATCTTCATGTAAGACATCTAGAGATGTTAATATGCAAAGTGTTGACTATATTTTTTGACAATAGCTCAGTAAATGAATCAGTTTTATACATGTCCTAGTCTAGCAATCTATGCATCTATATCTAAAGTTGAATCAATGGCTCAATAATAGTTATCTTATAAGTTGATGGCTTATTAAAATATACTTAGTTGATAACCTTGAAGTTAATTGCTTAGTAAAATAAATCTTTTGGTTAGTAATTAGTCATTTATCATCTATTCGTTGTTATTATTATAACCTTTTACCCTTTCCTTTCATGTTTTCTTTTTTCCAGTTACCATTATAATGTTTGTTATTTCAGATTAGCCAATTGTTATCCTTATATTTATTTCTATTTTTAGCTAGTTCCTTGATTATACTGACATATAAATTCTACAAAATCTGAATCGTGTACTACTGAAATATCCTTTAAATAATGTGATTGACAGATTCACACTAACCTCTTTTAGCATTATAGATTAATTACTATCCAATTTTGGCATATTTGGTGATATTCTTAATAGACATATTGTTGAAAAATCCTTTAAATGATGTAATTTACAGATCTGCGCTAGACCATTTTTAGAGAATCATAGATTAATTACCATTTAAGAACAACATAAACTAATTACTATTATTTTCAATTCCAGTATAACTGTCAACATTTTTTAATAAATATATCATTATCAAGATAGAAGATAATATGTGATATGAGAACTGATGATATGAAGAATGAGATGAATTGTTTATATACTGATAATCAGTTGTTGGAAAAAGAAAATGTTTCTACAATGAATTGGCAGATTTGTACCTTTGTAGAATAAAGTTTTAAGAAAAGAAATTCATTAAAATGATCTTTGTTATGCAATCTTGTTGGAGTTTAAGGTTTTATGCAGGGTGAAAAAAGGAGATTTATTTATATACTATAATAAGTGTCGAAAAATGGAATTTTCATCAATAAATAGTGAATCTGTGTTTTTGTAGTTGTAGGATAAGGTTTTTCTAAAACTGTAAGAAAGGTAATTCATTCAAATAATCTTTTGTTACAAGGCAAATAAAGGGAATTCATTCTATCTACTGATAATCAGTTGTTGAAAAATAGAATTTTTTTTAATGAATTGGTGGTCTGTACTTTTGTAGTTGTAGAATAATATTTCTCTAAAGTTGTAAGAAAGAAAATTCATTCAAATAATCTTTTTGTTATATCATCTTTCTTATTGTTGAAGTTTAAACTTTACGTGAATGAAAAAGAAAATTTATTCGAATGTGTCTGTGAGATAACTGAAATGTATTTAAACTCTATCTCTTGACCTTTAATAAAGCTTAGAATTTTGATTCTACAAATAAATAATACAAAAAAACTGAAAACAACTTTCATAAATAGATTAAACACTTAAATTTACTCATCTGAGTTATAACAAACCTCTCAAAAATAATAATCCTCTTTAAACATGCCGATTGCAAATATCTGTATTTCTAAAGAGTCAAATGTTATCTATAGATAGTATATTCATCCAATTCCTCATGAAATGACAATTAAAGATTTTTTTATAAAACTTATAACTGGAGAACTATCTTCTGAGTGTAATATTGACATCATCGATCCGAAAACAATAAAGCGTATTGACATAAGCAAGACACAAGATGCAGTTGCAATCCAAGTCAGCCCTAACTGTAATATTATAGAAGTTACAACAAATATAGAAATAAATGTACATTATCAGCTCAAAACTAATGTAGTAAAGTCAAATTTGGAACTGCAGTGAAACTACTTTACAATCCTAATGCAGAATGCATACCGGACCAAATTGTATTTTCCAAACTTCTTCTAATTAGAAAAATCAAATCACAAACTAAACTTGCATAGCGATATTGTTGATTGGATTCAGTGTCATGATGGAGGATGGTCTACACAGTTATATGCTAATACGCAAGGAAAGCAATTTGTTACTTGTTTGACTGAAATGATTTGGTATATAAATATATGTAATTACAAGAAATTAGAAGATCATAGTTATCACATACCTGAACTTTTTTTCAGGTTTTTTGGTCATGCAAATCCAGAATCACATAAACACTCACAAAAACACTTTGATGCAAATGAATTAAATTTGCATTGTCAAGCTCTTGCTTTATATGCTACTTTATTATGGATACTAAAGGAAAATTTCAATTGGCTCTATGATACACTAGATGGTTTTATTGTGGCTATCTCGAATTATGTGGGATTTTTGCAACACCAATGTAAAATTACTGCTAATAATCATGCATTAGAAACTCTTTTAAAAACTGTCAATCAGGCTATAACAGTACAAATTCATAGTTGAAATTTCTGAGTAACATCTATAGACAAATCCAAATATTATCAACTTGAACAGTTACTTAATGATTTACTGCTCTGAAAACCAGTTGACCTTGAAGAATTTCTTTCAACAGATCCTTGTATATATAAAAAATTAAACAAATAAATAAAATTGTAGATAAGGTTTTTATTGAAATTTGTATCTATTATAATATAAAATTTGGAACTTTATGATTGGTTTTTTTTTTTTTTTTTTACTTTTTTGAGTTAGTTTAGAATTGTTGACAAAGGAATAAAGAGTAGAGTTAATAGGTTTCATAATTTCAATATAACTACCACAATAGCAATTACATTATCTTAATATATAAAGCTAATA